TCTCCCCTCCCCTCCTCTCCCCTCCCCTCCCCTCCCCTCCTCTCTTCTCTTTCTTTTCTTTTTAATAGAGACGGGGTCTTGCTCTTGCTCAGGCTGTCTCGAATTCCTGAGCTCAAAGGATCTACCTATCTCCGCCTCCCAGATTGCTAGGATTACAGGTGTGAGCCACCACACCTGGCCCCTATATACTATGTTTAGTTTATGTTTTGTAACTGGTAATTCTAGTAGTTAAAGTCTTAGGACGAAGTGGAATATAAATCTGTTATTTCTACAGACTCAAGCTCAGTGGTTTGTTTTGTTGTTTGTGGTGATTTTTATTACAGCCTTATATTTTATTGAACTTGGTATTTGCAAGTCCTGCCAGCCTAAATTGAAGATACATTCCTCTAGGATGGATTTGCATATGTTTCTGCTGGGATCCATACATAAATCCTAGCAACTTGAAGCTACTTTATTCCCCATTCAAGGTCTTGGATTTAACAGTAATATCTGAGATTGAGCTCTCTCACCTTGCCTCAGCTATTGTTGGCATTTGCCTTCTGAACAATACTGCATTTTGCATATAACTTGGGACACGATTCTGATTTCAGCTCAATTTTAAAATTTTTGTCTCTTTTTCTTTTGATGGGGGGTATACTTAGAGATTTCCCTTACTTTCTAGAAAGTCCAGTAGTCTGTTAATAATTATGGCTTTTTTTTTTTTTTGTAATTTATGAACTGTCATGTTTTAGCAGAGGAGCCTTTTCTGAATATCTAGTTTACCATATTGTTGGAAGTAGAAATTAATAAGATTAAATATAAATATGCAAAGTGCCAGTCTAGATACTTTATCAATATTCATTTTCTTCTGCCTTATTAACTTATATTTTGCCAACCAATTTGTGTAACAGTGCTTTTACATCATATAGTTTATTCTTGGTTATTTGCTTTGGCCACTTTCTTTAGTCTGTTTTCTAATTTAAATTTTAATACATATTCTATACAGATTTTAAACGTGCATATTTACTTTGTTATTTATCATTTCAGAGAGAAATATTTGTTTCTATTTTCTGTTAGTTACTCTGGAAATAAATTTATAGAAAAATTTAATTTTTTGTTGTGTATGAAGTAAAGGTGTAGAAAATTTTGGAGAAGATTGAACCTTGGTAGAATTTATATCTTGACAGAAATCCAAAGGAGTTTCTTTTGTTTAGTAATTAACATATTTGTTTTATTTAGAACAGTAGTTCTCAGCTAAAGGGCTTTTGCCCCTTCGGGAAGATTTAGCAATGTCTGGAAACATTTTTGATTGCCACTTTTTGTTGAGGGGTGCCACTGACATTTAGTAAGTAGAGGCCAGGGGTGCTGCTCAACATCCCACAATGCACAGAACAGCCCTCCACAATAAAGAATTATCTGGCCCAAATTTCAGTAGTGCCAAAATTAAGAAATCCTGAATTAGAGAAGTGAAGATAAGATGTTCATGCTGGTGGATATTATAGGACTTCGTAGAAAGGGTTTTCCAGGTTTTAGAAAAACTGAAATAAGGCCTTAGAAAGGAAGACTGTTCTGTCCTTCTCTAATTCTTTAACACAGGTATTTACATCTTCAAGCCAGGACTAAAAGTCCAAATCTTTTGACTAATACTACTTATCAGTTGGACTTTATTTCTTGCCATGTTTTCCTATTATACAGTAAGATATATTCATTATGGAAAACTTGGAGAGAATAGAAAATTATAAATAGGAAAAAAATCCATTCAATCCCATCACCTATATGCAAGGGCTGTTAACATTTTGGAATATTTGGTTAGTTTTGTTTTCTTTGCAGAAACTTTTTATGTAGTTCTGAGAATACTATATTTAAAGTTTTATCTTAAAAATTAAAACACCAGCATAAGTATAAAACTGTATATAACATTATTATATAATTTTATTGTCATTTCTTTAACCACTTCCTCTTTGGTGTTGAAGTGTTTCTGAAGATTTCCTATTACAAACAATGTTTGATGAACATCTTGTATATAATTAGTTACATTTCAGATTCCTTTTTTAGAATAGATTCCTGAAAGTGGTAATGCTGGGACAAATAACATGAATGATATTCTTGATACAAACTTGAAATTATTCATTTCACCACAAACTCATCAGTCTGAATGCTATTAATATTTAAATGATTGATAGAATCTGTCTTCATGTTTTTTCTAAACTTTTATAAGTATGTAATATCTATGTACAAAGCTTTTGGAGGCTAAAAAAGAAAAAAAAAATCTTTGTATATCCTTGCATTGAGAATATAGTTAATTTCCCTGAATAAATGGAATATAAAAGAGCAATTAGAGAAAGCAACATGAACAAATGTAAAATTTTCTTGAGGTTACTCAATTTGTATAATGTGGCCTTGCCAGTTTTGTAAATTCAATGTTACTTTAAGTTCATTGAGAGAGAGAGCTCATTTAAAGAAATCCTGTAATGAGTATTCTTATTAAGTAGAAAAAAATATCCTTTCATAGTTTGGTTATGAGTTATGTTCTAGTTGTATTTGTTTCGTAAGTCCAAAATTTTGTTCACTTAGGTAATGTGAATACTTTTTTTGTGCATTAATGGCCCTGTGATATGGTAGAGCTTGGAGATGTATCAGTTAATATGCTCTACACACTGTAGTGTGTAATGTCATTTAAAAAGAGTCAGAATTGTTTTTATGAATTGGTGTTTCCTCATTGAACAATTTGAGAAGTATAGGGGTATAATTCTTTGCTCCAAAATTTCTATAACATGTACCTTTGTAATAGTGTTTGATATTTCCTCATTAAGAATTATTCCTTTGCCTTTACTATTTTTACAAAAGAGATATTACCAGGAAGATGGAAAGGTAAAGGCTTGTCTGGAACAAGGAGGAGATATTACAGAATAAGAAGAGACAGAGTTGAAAGTTGATAAGGAAGGAAGTAGAGGCATTTGAGAGAAACAATTATAAGTTAATTTTTTGAGGATAAGGTAGGGTGTAAGTATGTGTCATAAATGATTAAACTTCCCTGAAAGTGGCAAATTTAGTCTTGCTCTTAATACAGAGGATTTGGAAGATACAGTGTAGTACCTTAAATGAATAATAATGACTTTTCTTAAATTTTCACTTTTGGAAATCTAGAAGGAATTTTTAGAGCCTTAATTTATGATTGCAAGTCGTAAAGGCACTGGAAAGTTATTCATACTGAAGTTATTTCTTCATAGTTCAAAAGTTTGACCAGAATAAAATTGTTTAGTTTCCCTTCTTATTCAATCTTTATTTCCATATTTTATGACTTATCAGCAGATAGAAGGAAAACAATTAGCTTAAAAGTTTAACAAAGGAAAACAAAACAACAGCAAAACCCAAGTTAACCTTTCTTCACTTCAGAATGTGGTGTAATTTGTCTTAATTCAGACCATGATCTGAAAGGTATGCCTTTCATCTGTGACAAGGGAAAGGTAGAGGAAGAAGAAGCAGGATAGGAAAGTTGAGGAGCTGCTATTAATTCTGAATTCTTGTTAGTGTTTTGACTTACAATATTGTGATTTTCTATAATACACGCTCTAGTTATTGAAAATGTTTTCAGAATAATTTTGAAACACTTTTGGTACATTTATTATTTTACATCAGTATTAAATCTCCCATTTAATTAGCATGGATGATTGCAAATTGATTATGACAAACTCTGTACAAATAACTGCTGTAATAATCTGCTCTGGAATCCAGATTCCAAATAAGGCCTTTAACAGAGGACATGATCTCAGAGTGTTTTATGGAGCTTTGCATAGGTTACTTGTTACTTTACATAGATTATTTTAAGTGTCATTCTTGTGGGTGGATAGGCAACTTTGTGATAATTGGACAGCATGTAAATAGTTCTTAATTTCTGAGTACATTTCTATTCAGTTTTTCATGTGCATGATAAAATATCAAGATAAAGTCTTTTGAAAGCTATTCATACAAAAAAGGCTTCAGGGTTGTAAAGAACCTTGAAAGTAATTTAGTTATTTATCCAGCTATTTTTCGAATCCTTTCTCCCTATCTGTACGGTTTCGGTTTCCTCTTGAATACTTCACTGACTCTTTTTTTTTTTTTTTGAGACAGTCTCTCTGTTGCCTGGGCTAGAGTGCTGTGACGTCAACTTAGCTCACAGCAACCTCAAACTCCTGGGCTCAAGCAATCTTTCTGCCTCAGCCTCCCAAGTAGCTGGGACTATAGGCATGCGCCATCATGCCTGGCTAATTTTTTCTATGTATTTTTAGTTGGCCAATTAATTTCTTTCGATTTTAGTAGAGACAGGGCCTCGCTCTTGCTCAGGCTGGTTTTAAACTCCTGACCTTGAGTTGATCCGTCTGCCTCGGCCTCCCAAAGTGCTAGGATGACAGGCATGAGCCACGGCTCAGGCCTTAACTGACTCTTAAGGTGACTGAAAATGGTCTTATAAATTACTTGAATTGATGGAGATGGGTTTTTATTCACCTTGATTAATTACCTCAAGTTTCCTTACATTAGTTTTCACGTAGTTTTCTAAATTAGCCTCAAACTTAAAGGTAGGTATTTGATAAGAATATTTGCATAGCTCCAATCTTAAAACATTATTGTCTCTTTCTTAGAAGATACAAAGTACAGAAATAACTTTTTGTACTCTGTATTTAGATATTTTAAAATGTACTTTTAAAATTCTTTACCATAGAGTTCTTCACATTTATATTCTCCTTTCATTGGACACACAGTAAAAGCGATATTTGTATTTCCTAGACAGGTACTATGTGCTTTTAACTAGGTAGTTAATTGAATTTATTGTTAAATATACTATTTAGGCGAGTAACCAAACTTACTTTGACATCCATTATGAAGATTAATAGTTTAAAATAATTTTTAAATACTTTTAGTTTATGGAATGAAAACACTGTTTCAAGTTTAAATGTGCTAATTAAAAATGTTTTGAATTATTAGTTGTGTTATTTTAAAAATATAGTTTATAATAGTCAATTTTGTATTTTATCTTTTAGGCGAGGGTTAAATCCACCGCACAGGGTGAAATCTATCTCCATGACAACATTCACACAACAGGAAATTGAATTCCTACAAAAACATGGAAATGAAGTAAGTGTTTTTACAATTTTCAACTTTTTTGTTGGCAGTCATTTTAATAAGATTTAATAGGTTATTTAAAATGTTGAATTTCAGTGTCTAAAAAAAGTTATTTTTGTATTCTATATTTAGATATTTTAAAATATACTCATATAATGATGTATTTGGAATTAATGTCTACTACATAAATACTTTACCTTAAACCTAAAGTGAAACATACGTATTTTAAATTCATCAATGTTGAATGTAAAAGGCTTTTTTTGGAGGACATCTGGTATTGAAGTTACTATTAGTCTTTGCTTTAAAAGCCAAAGGAAAAGAGGAAGAAAATTAGCTTTGTGATTATATAAACTTGTTTAGGCTGTTGTGTGATTAGCTTTCACTTGAAGTTCTCTTAGTCCTTTTTACTAAATTTTTAGTCTTTGGGTGTATATGCAATGTTGAATGGTTAGCAAGTGGCTCAGTAGGGAGGAGGCCAGTAGTTTTGAGGGGCAGCCTAGTGTCATGGGGAACCAGATAGAGTAAGGATTTGGAAATCTTTTTCCTTCTCGCTTTTAATGGGCTTCCAGCGATTCCATTCTGTTTGTTTTTAGTTTTATGTTTTGTTATTAGTAAAAGTTGTGATCTAATATTTTTAAAATCAATAAAATTAACAAAGAAAGTGGGCATCTTTTGCAATCTTGGGATAAGTATGAGCCAGTCAACCCAATTGATTAATAATGGCTATTATTATTTTTAGAAAAGCCTCATTTTCTAGAAAGGAAACAGTGCTTTAGTTATACTGTTCTTATTGCGTATCTTTGAATCCTTAATAGACATAAAAGAAGTTAAATGTTATGATTTTATTAGTTTCAACTTTCTTTTACCCTTAGAAAATGTATGCAAGCATTTTGCACTCTACCTCTCTTTCTTCCTAATATTTTGAGAGTAATATCTTAAAATTGTTTGCCTACTTGTGAGGCACATGTGTTTTTGGTTCTAAAATAATGAAGAAATATAAATTCACAATTATGAAATGATTTAGAATACATGATTTAGAGAAGAGAGCCCAACTTTGAAGTCTCCAAATTTTCCCATGACACAATTTGAGTAATCAGATTCAAGACTAATGTAATACATTGTTGGAAGATATAAAGCTGGATGAAAGCGTAGAAGGTTTTTAATGACAATAAGCTTAGAATAATATATTTACTGATTAAAATATAATTTGAACTATTTGTATGAAATTTATAAGTGATATTAGCCTACCAATATGAACTTGAAGTTACTTTCTTAGAATGTTAGCTTAGAACTCAAAATTTATAACAGTAGGTAAAGCAAGAGTAACAGAACAGTAATAAGAGTTAAACTCTTGGAGAATTTTAACTTGTAAGCTGAGCTTAAATAATAAGAATAACAAAAATTGGTAGTTATTTTAATAACAGCATTAAGTATTATAGGGTGGCAGAGTTAAATTATGTACTCATTTAATGTAGAGTCTGTAATTACTCTGTTGCTCATGGCAAGGTTTGGCAAACTGTTTCTGTAAAGGGCCAGATAGTAAATACTGTAGACTTTGTGGGCCACCTGCAGTCTCTTGGATATCCTTTTTTTAAAACAATTCTTTAATGTAAAAACCATTCTTAGATCAGGACAGTATAAAAATAGGCCAGTGGCCCAGTTTAGTCTATAGATAGTTGATTGAAGAACCATTGTCTATAGAATTAATTCCAAAGTTTTCAGCTTGCAATATTAATCCTTTTATAACCTGATTTATAATCCCCAGCTAATATTTTTCTTATTTATTCCAGCACATATGTTTTAATTGCAATCATCTCTATTTATTTAAAAAAATTTTTTCAGCTATAGCTGCTGGAATGGGATCTGTTTTGTTTTCTTAAATCTTTCAAGAATATTTTATCCCACAGATATACTAAAACCCTCAAAGGTATTTTTTTCTTTTCCTTTCCTTCACTTTCCCTTCTTTTTCCATTTCCTTTCCCTCTTTTCTTTTTGAGACAAGATCTCGCTACATTGCCCAGCCTGGTCTCAAACTCCTGGGCTCAAGCAATCCTCCTGCCTCAAGCCTCCCAAGCAGCTGGGATTACAGGTGTGCATGCATCACCACACCCAGCTCCCATATATATTTTAAACTATTTTTTAAAATAGCATATACTATAAGATTTATAAAATATTTGTTTTTTTCTTTGCCCACATGGTTTTTTTCTGAATTGGTCTTACTCCCTCAAAACATAGTCATTTCCATGACATAATCTTACATACTTTTTCATTGTACATAGAGCAGTGACTGAGAATGCACAAGAGTGTATACTCAAGTAAGTTTCAAACTTTATATCCATGTAAGTTTCATTGAAATTACTTGTGATGGTTGTTAATTTCTTTCTTTCTTTCTTTCCTTCCTTCCTTTATTTGGTAAAAATTCCTGGGCTCTATTCTCTGGAGATTCTGACCCTGGATGTGGAGTGAGATATAGGAGTGTCTATCTGCATTTTCACCCAGAACCCCATGTGATTCTGATGCAGGTGGCTATGGATCACCAATTGTGAAGACCACTATAGTAAATAAAGATTCCGGACTAGGACCCCAAACAATCTATGGTTTAGTTTCAGTACCACTAATTTATGAACCTTGTCACCTTGGGAAAACCAGTTTTCCCTCAGCTTCATTTTCCTTGTAATCCATAAGTATCTGTCTTGCCTGTTTTAGGAGATTGATTTGAAGATAGTATATATGAAAACATTTTGAAAATTGCTGTCTTATGTAGATATAAGATGATGGTTTTAGGTGCAAAGATGCTTTTCTAATTATTGCGTAAGCTCAGAAAATAAGGGTCCTATAGGAACATGGTGTGCTTTGAACTGAGTTTAGTGTAAAGAGAAATTTTTGCAGAATTTCAGTCAGTATGATGGTTTTAATAAATATGAAAAGATAATTCACTTAACATTTTTAACCACAGAATGTAACTATTTGAGAGAATAGCTTTGTAATGAGATATTTGAGGTTTAAAACCATCTAACTAAAATATTGAGGCACAATATTGAATTATTTAAAAGGATATTTTATCAGTTTCTTCTTATTTATGAAGAAATGCACACATTTTAAAGTCTGGCTTCTAAGTATTTTGAAAGAAAGGCATGATTCCATAGTTTTCTTTTAATTTTAGCTGAATCTAATCAGTAGTAACATAGTAATGTTTAAAATATTTACAGTGCATTCTTGGATATTAGCTGTAGGCTTTCAGAGAAATATCCAATTATACTAATTAACAAAAAAAATTAGAAAATGTTATCTTTGTTTTGTACATATTGTAACGTGGATTTTTTTGAATGATGACTGAAAACCCAAAACATTATAGAAGAAGCTAGATGTTGTTAGTTTGTAACTACTTTGAGAGTTTGTTTTTTTATGTTTATATCCCAGGTCACCTCACCATGTTTATTTCCTTTTAGCTGTTTGCCTCAGCCATGCTAGCTACCTGTACTGTCTCTCAACTTTACTTGTTTTTTTATTCTTGCTGTTAAGTGTATTATCTTTTAAAAAAAAATTTGAATCTAGTTAAAAATATAAATTACGAGGCTTTTTTGTTCCCTACAAAAACTTACTATGGAGATTTTCATGTTTACATAAGTAATTAATAATATAACCAACTCCCATCAACTCATGCCCCTGTCTTTTTATTATTTTGAATCTGATTGAAGACATACCATTTCATCTATAAACTCATCAACTCATGTTATTGCTAAAAAAGAAAATAACCCCAGTACCATTTTCATGCCTACAAAAATGAGCAGTAATCTAGTCATTTGGTCAGTGTTCAGATTTCCTAATGTTTCATAAATTTCTCTTCCACTCCCTCTTCTCCTAACAGTATGTTTGAATCAGGGTCCAAGTAAGGCTGACACGTTATGAGTGGTAAATATGGGCATAAAAGCTCTGTAATGCTTGTAAAGGCTTGGAAGTTAGATCGCAGTCAGACCTGCAATGGGAGTAGGCAACTTCTTGGTGGTCTGGGATAGATCTAGACAGAGTTTTGTGTCAGGACAGCAGGGGCCTTAGACCAGGTGGGTACTCTGGGGCTGGATACTGTGTAAGTTTAGATCCTTGCTAGCTTAAGTCCTTGGGAAATAGCAGCTCAGGTGACTTCCAGGGCCTTATAGGCAGACTCACGCAGCACAAGTGTTACCTGGTGTACGTTGAATTGTAATCCTTCGCTTGAGTGTTTTACATTGCTCTGGCATCAGCTGCCACTCACACTCCTGAAAATTGATGCTAGGTTCTTAATTTCAGAGCAAGAAGCTTATTTAGCTGTCAGGACATTAATTGGCATTCAGCTTGACAACAGAAGATGCCATCTGGTTGTAGGGTGCTTTATAAGCTGATAGGAAGAAGTTTCAAATAGGCTCTCTGGGTCCATAGATTATTGAGGAATTGGTGATGTTGTCGAAGGTTTCTTTCATCGGTTTCATGAAATTGAAGCCAACCTGCACAGCAAAATCAGCTTTGGGTAGGAGTAGCCAAAGGCCATGCCTACAGGAACTTCTTGGAGATTTGGATTGTATTTTTTGCCAGTCTCCTGCTGGACCATGGACTCCACTACTTCCCTAAGGATGATCCCATGCTGGTCTGTGGTGCTGGTATCTTTCCAAGGATGGGATGGCTGTGAGCAGTCATATTTTGGTATGAGAACTTGTCCCGCTTTGTGCCATCTTATAGCAGCATAGTGCCATAGGTCTTAACATAAGTGAGCAAAATCTCCTCATAGTGTGAATGCGGTGGTTCAGCAGTTACTCTGCCTGCAGGGAGCCTGGTTGGGCTACCTATTGCACTGTCTGTCTGAACTTGTGCTCATGGATGTCATGGCAAGACTCTGGTCCTGAACAGAGGCTACTCAAAACCACAGCCCAATGGCCAGATCTGCCTGTCTTCTCCCCCTGCCCGAACATTTTATTATGACAAATGCCAAACATACATAAAAGCCGAAAAATTATACAGGTATAATAAACATTATGCTG